CAGGAATCACCATACCTCTTGTCCTGATCTCTCTTTGGGACTGCATCAGGTTGTGCAAGGAACTACTACACCATCTTGCCCATGGAAGTCAAGTAATTCACAAAACTGCATGTCTGTGATTAAAGTGCTTTGATATTCTAATTTCATTTAGCCTCCACACTGTCACTTGGTCATAAGTCACAACACCAGGCAACAATAGATCAGTTTTAAGTGTATTACTATAGGCAGCATCTTATTCTACACTAAGACACAAAAAGGAGGACAGTGACCTCCATATTAGTGGAGGGAAACCTGGTCAAGTAGAGTCCCAGCTATTCAGCTAAGGAGCCACTAGAGGCCTTGGACTACTAGGAGCCACTGGGGGACTTTCCAGGCTCTGCTGACTGTAACTTAAGCTGAGACACAAGATTATTTAAAGCCACGTGTATTTAGGGGTCTTAATCTAAAAACGAATTTTATCCCAACAGTCAAAATTGATTTATGTCCAGCCAAAATATAAAAGTGCTATAAGAAGAAAAACAAAACAAAAAAGCAAAAAAAACCCGAACCCACTCCAAGGGAAAAAAAGACCCAACAACAGGTTCTTGTCACACTCACTCTCTTCCATTTTGAATATACAGTGGTTGGGTTTTGGGGGGTTATTTGGGTGGTGGTGGGGGAAAGTCAACTCATAGCTATCTTTCCTGCCTATGACAACACAGGTTCTAATCCATTAAATCTGTTAAAAAGATGTCTGAAGTCTGTGACTGACTACCACAGATAAATATTTTATGCCACAATTTTAATAGCACATTGAAAACTCAAAAGCATTTCACAGGTGGCAGATTTACAGCATATATGCAGTAAAATCAAGTAGTATTTATCTTAGTTTTCAAATGAAAATGTAATTGGTGAAAATGTTTCCCTTAAATTATTAATGGAGAATACACAAGACAACAATTACAAGAAACAATACTTTTATGGCTAGCTAAAATGTAACCTGAACATCCACACCTATACAGTGTGCGATCTTTTAAGACCATAAAAATACTCAGACATTAAGCTTTTAACTTGAAACTTGTTTTAACATGAGAAACCATCTCCTATGTATACTCAGACTATTATACAAGTATTTTTCATATCCTAGTAGCCACTTATGCTAAGCAGTAATATACTTTTAAAAATTAATTTGCTCCTAATTACATTACTACCTTATGACTAAATTGTCCACTGCTTTTGTATATTGGCTTGAAATTACAGTGCTACTAATGAATTTTTGACAGAATCCGAAAGTCATGTATTCTCAAAACATAAATTACGTAGTAGAAGATCAAGAAAAGAAATCATCTATTCCAAAAATCTTCTCAAGTAAATGACTAACACAAATACCAAGATACTTTTCGCCAAGACAGCTCTCTCGACCCATTAAATAGAGGCAAGTAGAGACAAAGTCTAATGTAAAGACACAAAGTTATCCATCAGATAAATATCCTGCCCTAGATTTAGAATATGCTAAGGAGTTAGTCTAATTTGAGAGTCTTTTGCTAGAGAGATTAGAGAGTACATCTGACCTTGCTGAGACGCTGGAATAAGGACCTGCTGTGGCTGAGACTGCTGCTGCACGGTCTGCTGTGGCTGAGGTTGTGTGTGATGGTGGTGGTGATGATGCTGCTGTTGCTGCTGCTGCTGTTGCTGCTGTTGCACCTGCAATAAAAGCTGCTGCTCTTCTGAATGGAAGCCATCTACAGCCTTGGACTGCATCAGCTTGTTCTCCCACAGCTAGTTTGGAAAAGGAAAGAGAAATCTCTGTGTACAGTTTTTTTACTCGACAGGATTTGTAACAGTATAAAGACAGTACTCCAAAATCAAATTTGTTTTCACTGTTTATCTTGCACAGTCTACTTAGCCAAAAAGCCCTTAAGACAAATACAGACTGAAGAGGTAATTCCACAGAGGTAAGGTTTTAAGAAGAAGAATTAAATATCCCTTAAGAATTTTCAGTCCAAGCTTAAACTTTAACTTTCTTTCTTCCAATTGTGGAAGATTCTTAATAACCCTAATAGAAGCATGAGTAGAGATAAAACTGGTAACTTTATAAATTAGCCTTCAATTTCTTTACCTTCTTTTTCTTACCTCTTTAATTACAAAAATAATTCTTTATTACAGTTTTCCTTGAGCCATTTCTTCTTGGAACTCCTCAATAAAAGTTGCTTGACAACTACTGCCACATAACATACTTCAACAGAAACTACCAGTATACTGAAGACAATGCCTCTGTGTACGAGCATTTACACAGTTTCTACCACAATACCAAATTCAGCTTCTCCAGCCCTTTAATTCTTGATGCTAGCCGACATCTCTCTCAAGAAAAAACACAGATGCAAAAAAAAGCAGCTCTTGCAAGAAGACAGCAATGCAAGTATTCTGTAATACATCAGAGTCAAAAAGACTGCAGGCACCCAGGACTCCTGATTTCAAATCCTACTTAGGGTTCCCCTAAGCCTTCCTCTTCAATATTTCATTTTCCTTCTTGTCTTTTTCTTCATTCAGTATTTTCTGACATCATTTGCAGAACACATCTGTGACACAAACATCAAGGTGCTTTTCCTTTTCTTAAAGTGGAAGGTCATTTCCACCAAGCAAGGTCATGGTTTCATGGAAAAAAGTCTTCACCTGTTTCTGTCTAGCCAAACTCAAAGAAACCCAGCTCTGTCCCAGCTAAAGCCCAGGACACAGACTCAACTTGGGGAAGAAAATTAATTTAATTCGTTGCCATTTATCTGAGTAGTACAGTGAGACACAACAACCACATCTTACAACACCTTTCCCCCACCCCTCCCTTCTTCCCAGGATCAAATCACTTTGCTTCTGATGTCTCTATCTTCCCCCACAGTGGCACAGGGGGGCAGGGAATGGGGGTTCAGTCAGTTCCTC